AAAAAATAAAATAAAATCTTTATTCTTCATAACGTTTCAATCTTTTTTTTAACACTTAGCTGGTAAAATGCTTATCAACAGGTTTGCTCAGGTAGTATCTGCCTATTCATAGTCAGATTACCTTTGCTTGTCACTAGCCTTCACTAGCTCCACTAAAGTCACCATTAAAGTCAATGAGCAACCATTCTGTAATCCGCAGCACGTTCATGCCAGCCAGACGGTTCATAAGGTAGTGAGTAATTCTAGGAAATGGCAACAAAGCAGAGTCCTATGGCACATTTTGGGCACGAAGTTCTGGGTTACGGAAGCAGGGCTCTGACTGAGAAGCAGCTATCACTGACGGTGTGCATTTTGCTGTGCAGGTTAAGTCACAGGGGTGAGGTGATCTTACAGGAGACCTCAAACCTCTTCAAATTTACAAAGTATGCTACATTTGATTTATAGCCATTTACCATCCAAAGATTTAAACAAGTAGTCTGAAGCACCATGAAGCTGGCCATCATTGAGACAGGCAGCAATGGATCAGTAAATACCATAGCTGGTTCTGCCACTAACCTTGTTGAATCACTTTACATATTAGTTTGAATGCATTTTGTTATTATCTTTTATCCTGTCTGGATGCCCAAATGCAAAACTGGGAAACTTCTCTTTTTCATCAAAAATGCTGTCTCCCTAAACTGGCCTCTATTCAATGATAGAATAATACATCAAATATTAAGTCTGTACTATCAGCACACGCTAGCCTGCATATCAATGCAAGTGTGCTTGATCAACCACCAGATTTTAAAAACTTAGTATAAATTCAGTTTTTATCACTTCATATATTTAAAAGTATCATACAACAAGTTAGTTAACTCTTTATAATACACTTTCAAAAAAATTGATAAATATTACTCCCTTAACATATACCAGAGAACTGGGTGATAAAAAGGCTGAGCAACCTACAGGGACTCATACAAGACCACATAATGTTTCAGTACATCACCAGAAATAGAGCTTCTGATCCTTGTTTGTACCTCAGACCACCCCACTTTTTTTTTTTTTGTGGCTACAGTACAATTTGAAGGTCTGTTTTCTCACATCAACATCTCTACTCATTTGCTGTAAAACTTATAACAACATGATGTACTAATTTCAGGTGATACTTAATGTTGAAAATAAAAATAGCAGAAATAAAGTATAACGATGAGTGGCATTACAGTATTTTAAGAAGAATGAATGTTTGTGTGCTTGACAAAATGCCAAGTAGAAATGCTAGCACCTGCACATGTCAACATATTGGTGATTAAACCAAGAATGCCAACACAAGCCAGATGCTGTTTTCTTTTACACACAAATATTGTTTCAAACATCAAGTTACTTTTGCTTTTCCAGAAAGGTAGCAAGATCCATAATACTGAAGGTTTAACAACTGGCTACTACATTTACAATAGATGGCTATATTCACAGCATTACTAACAACTTTGCTATTTGCTTCAAAAAGGTTGCATAAATTACATGCTCTGTACCCTAGTTGTGATTCTATTATGCTTCACCAAATTTTTCATCCACAATCTATTTTACACATTTTTTAGGCAGACAAATACATTGATTGTTAATGTGGCAACATTCATCTCATCGCACCACCTAACAATGTATCTAAAATTCTACTTAAATTTCTTCCAAAGAAAGGGCAAACCAGATAATTTAAACAGTAGTTTGCACATTCGGTATTTATTACAGGAATCCTGCATGACTGGTTGACAGCAGCAAGTCAGAAAGTTTAGCTCAGCTAACGCCAGCAGTGATGGATGGCCTTGAAAAAATTCTTGTTTGCTGATCAGATCAATCACTGAATAGAATGCAAAAGAGAGGATGTGGCTCCAACTAAATTCATATTTCCATCTCTATGCAGAATGGGAAAGGAAGAAGTGTGCCATAAAGCATCATGTGCAGCTATTAGAAGACTTGCCAAAGTGTTTTTTGCATAAAGTAAACTTGATGGCTTGATATGCTATCAATTTTCACTTGAAGCTACTCAAATATTCAGTAGTAAGTAGTCAGATTATGTAAGAAACCATCTTTGAACATTAAACTCCAGGAAGCATCAGCACAATCAATATTCTGTCCACAAACAAGCACAAGACTCCTTTCAAAACGTTTGAAATTAAGAGAACTGAATGGCAGTCACATGAAGCAAGGAGCGCTTGTCTACACTATTTACTGGATTATCATGAGTCTGCTAGGATAAAATACATTGTCTATTTTGCAAGTCTTGAAGGAGTTTATAGGTACATCAATAAGTTACAGCTGACTTCTAATAGAAAATTTTAGTACTAAATTGATTTTTAAGAAGTTTAACTTCTGCATACAGTTGCTCTAAGTTGGGAACAAATGAGATTGTACTTTTTAGGCATATATACCTTTAAGTAGCTCCAGTTACTTTGATAAAATTCTGTTATAATCAAATCATGCTTATTCTGATAATTACAAGAGTAATTAAGAAATGAAACAGTTACACTGAATTAAACATCTATTCTTCAGTAGTGGTTTTGGCAGTGTTAGGCTGACGGTTGGCCTTGATCTTAGATGTCCCTTCCAACCTAGACAATTCTATGATTCCAAGTTTATGGAAATGTATTAAGTGAGATTACTTCATCCACATAGACACTGATATCACTGCACATAAGGAGAGAGAATTAGGATTTGTCTCAGGGTCTCTGATAATACTAATTTAGAATCAGGAAAGTTGATAAAAAAAAAAAAAAAAAGAAGTGACACATACATTATAACCATTTAAATACAGTGTATGTTTACATAAGCTATACACAGTGCAAATACATGTATTTTGTATTTAGAGAAGTACATAAGAATATTATAGAAGAAAATATATATTGTTGTAAGAGGGACATAGTAATGGTGGGAACAGGAAGTAGTGAGAAAAGATGAAGAAAATGTAAAGTCTAGACAGGAGCTGGAAAAAGAAAGGTGGGAGAAGTGGTAGAAAATAAGAGGTCTTTCAGTTATCAAAAAGAGCAAGAGATGAAAAATTAAAATGAGTAGAAGAAAGGTGAAGAGGTTCTTGTGAAGAGGTATAGATGGGTGGCAAGTACCCAAAAGAACCAAACTCAATGTGACACTACAGAAAATCTGAATTCCTGTACCTGTCACTGAGTCTCTGCCATCTGTCTATAGAATGTCTATGAGAAACAAATTTATGCACTTGGTTTCTGTTTACTGCATGACTTATCCTGTTTGTTTTGTCCCTTTTGTTACACGCTTTTAGAAGTAAGGCAACAATTAAAACCATAGAAGCAGAAAGTGTAACCAGAACTACACTCAGGAAATTTATCAAAGAACAGAAAAGTCAGTGTGGTTTGACACACAGAGAAGGTCTTCGTGTTGCAGGGAAAAAAAAAAAAAAAGGTAGCTTTAAAGTCACATATACTTATGTTAAAGATACCTTAATATCTAAGCAAAAAAATTATTCAAAATGAGGTAAGAAATAAAAAGAACCACCTTGACAGGAAAACATATCAGAAAATGTATAAAGGCTGTGGTAGGAAGAAAAATTAGAGAGAAAGGGAAGTTGCTTGAAAACATGCAGTTTTCTCATCTACTCAGCAGTTACCAGCTTTCCTGCCAACAGTTTCTCACTTTAAATTAGTAAAATGTTAGTATTTTCTGCACCAAGATCTTAGCACATAGAGTCAAGGTTGTCTTTAAACAGCTATTTTGAGTCCAGTGTTCTCTCTCAAATTTCCATGCTCCATGGAGAAGCAAAAATATTGCTTTGGTGAAGATCTGTGCTAAATAAGTTATTTTATCCTTTGAGGACTTTCTTAATGTTCAGATTCTAAAATCCTGTTAGAAATTAAGCGTGTCAGAGGAATATATAATGGTACAAACGGGATGTAGGTTGTAAATGCCCACTAACTCCCAAACCACTGAGACAAAAATACCTGCATGGACTGTTACAAATTGAATGAGGAATTTTAATAAATATGACTCAATTCATACTAGCATATTGTTTGTTAAAATAACAAAATATTCCAAGATGACTGTACTTATGCGAAGGCACAGAAGATAACAGAATTACCCACACATATAGCACACCATCCTAATTTCATGAAATAGATTATTTGTGTTATAATGAACACTGTTTCTCTACTACCATAGAGCTGGAATGATATTTGCTCAGGATCTCATTTTGTCTTCTGACTTAAACCTACGAGAGTTGTTTCCCCTTACTCCAAACACGAAACTTCAGACAATCAAGAAAAGCTGACACCTATGGATACAGATGAATGGAAAGTTACAGAAAGATAAACAAAAAATAAAATTCTGCATTGACTTTACTCAGTTTAAATGCATATCCTTCAATCCATCTTTACTTGCAGGATTTCTAATGGCATATCTCTTTTGTTAATCCAAAATTCTAGGTGTTCCACTGGCTGCAAAGCTGAGTGAGCTGTGCTGGTTATTAACAGCTGGTGCCACTAAAGGGGAAATGGTGTCCAAAGACAGAGAATTGCACAAGTTTAAAACTGTATTAAATCATTGCACATCAAACTAATGAAAAAAAGTCTGTTTCAAATGTTTCTCTCTTTCCTTACAAGATGGACATAATTATACCAATTAAGCACTCCAAGTTGTTCTAGCTCTTCATGATTTGTTTGGCTGGGGTTTTTTCTCCCCCTATTATTAGAATATATATTTCTTTTTGCCCTGAATCAAAGGGCTCTAGAATAGCTATTTACAAATCTCTTATGGATTTCCAGGAGACCCTCATGAGCCAGTATTTTCACCATCTTCATTCATGATTTTTAGAGCTTGTTCTCTCTTCAAAGGCGTACCGGAGTATTTAAAACATCCAAGAAAAAATGATCTCATTAGCTTAATTACTTCTTATTGACTTGACAAGTCACCATGCTTTAATGCAAAATCTGCCACTACAATTAATGGCTGCAATCAGGCATTCACTTTATATTAAGTACTCAAGGAAATTTTATGCATCTTACAGTAACTCAGTGGAGAAGTCTTGTCCCAGTGGCACAAAAATCTGAAGTGTCAGAAATTGCTGGATCAGTCCCACTAGAAACAGGAAAAAAATTAATAACATGCTGTGTGCGTGCAGATGCACATTTCACAATCAAGCATTTCAATTTTGTACCATACAGCTATGCTTCTGCAACACTATTTCCCAATGTTCACACAACATACGAACACAAGAAAAACCTGAAGAAAATCAATTCAAACTGCAATGGAAGTGTTGTTTTAAGAGTCCCATCTGTGGCTTTAATGGTTCTTATGAAAATAAAAGGAACTTTTTTTCTTACAAGTCTACATTGTGTTCCAACAGCATGTAGACACCAAATATCCCATAGGAATTATAAAATAAACTAACACTTTCCTATCAAGATTATCTTATAGTCATATGAAACTTGCTCTCACATTTGTGACAACGTACACCCTAAACAACTTCAAAAAGCCCTTGGGTAAAAATGCAATCCAGATCATGACAACAATGCTCAGTGGAGGCTTCTGATTTTCAGAACAACTGATTTAACTGAGGGAACAAACAGAACAAATCTTTCAGGAATCAGGTAGCTCCCTATCAAGGGAAAACAGATAGTACAAAGCTGTCTGAATTGAACCATATGTTGTTTTCTTAGTTATTCCATCAGGGAGGGTACCGGCTGCTCTTCATTCACTTAACAAGATGCAACAGCAACATTATCTCCTCTTCTAAAGAATGCCAATTCAGAACTTCCTTCTTTTGTGGGTCAAACAACACTTAAAAATTTCAAGTTACATTTACAGATAGAACATCTTTTATTTTGGAAGAGTATTCAAAGATTACAGTACAACTGGAAGATTGTATACTTGATAAAAATGAAATACTTGAGGTACATACACCTCAAAAGAGGAAGAGGCAGAGGAAGACAGAATGGTAACAGACAGAAATTTGACTGTAGCATTGCAGCACTAGGTGAAAGAAATTTAAAACAAAACTATTCCTAGCCGTGGTAATTCACATCACTAATTCTCAATCCTCATTTTAGGCTGTAATAGTTTGTTACATTGGCAATAAAGAAATTAAAGTTGGATTTCTCAGAAAGATACATTAGACTAATACTGATTATACTGAAGATAATCTTAAATTTCTTTTCTAGAAATCAGATTAATCTTCAAGGCCTTAGTGCATGATCAGACTATACAATTTCTTATTTATTTTTTGTGTATGTTTGGAAAAGCTAATTTCTAATTATATACCCTGCATGAGGAGTATGCTGGAAGATTCCTGCTTCATTTGACCAAAATCACCATCTCAATTTTTCTTCAAAAGCAAGCAGTTAATTCTAAACCAGCTTGATTCATTACTACAACCTTATAAGGTATAATAACCTGCAGTGAAGTTTAATGTATAAATTATGACAATTGCTATATGCCCTGTGAAACATAGACTGCTTTGATTCTGGTTTATGCTGGTACAAGTAACAGACAACCTGAGGAAACACTCCATAGTATTCACCAAGGACTGATAACGCAGCTGAAATTCAGGTATAACTTGCTTGTACTGCTAGTGCTTAATTGATACGTAAAAGTAAATACACTTTAAAAAATAAAAGGAGAAAGAGGACAAATTCTGTAATGCCAATAGAATTACTGACTTTAGTTAGTGCTGAATGGAGTCAGAAATTATTTGCCAGACATCATGCTGTAGCGGGATCAGGTACAGAAGCAAACCTAGCAGCACTAAGACAACATGTATCAGTAAGCATCTTCCCTACAGCACTTACTTTAATATGGCATTTATATACCTTTTACTTATTTTTAACTGATCTGCTAAAACGTTAATGAAAAAAATATTTTGCTAGTGCTGCTTATGCCCAAAGTAAGGGAGAATAATCTAAGTTTAATTAAATCAGTCTTATATGGGAATGTAGTCAGAACAACATCACAGACATTTAATTCTTTGATACTTACAAGTTTGTCTAGTTTCCTTTGGTAGCTGCATTTTGTTGATTTGACTGCTTCCTTCAAGTACAAAAACAAAGCCTTTAACTTCTTTATCATATTCCTACAAAAAGAAACAAACATAAGCATCCTGATAGAATTCTTCTCCTCACAACTAACCATGCTACTAACATGCAAAGTTACTCTTCTTTTTTTTTTTTTAAAATCACAAATGGCAGACAGCTTTGCAAGTATGACAGTAATAATATAACCCATAGAAATACGCCCTTTACTTGCATGTTTTGTGAACAAATAATGCCAAGAAACAGAACTCATGATCCAATGGGCCCAACTTAATCCATTAGTTATCAGAATAGCAAAATTACTTACTAAATATTTAAACTATAATATTACACTGCAACCAACCTAGTCTGCAAGCAGGCATAAAGAACTAATTTAAGTAGTCAGTCTGTCATAATGACAGAAGTGCAAGTGACAACTCCACTGTCAGGTCAAAGCCCTCATTACTTTCTAATTTTAAGCTTCATTCACATTTTTCTGTTTTATACTCTAGGTTTTATAAGTTTCTTAAAAAACTTACTTTCCATATAGCTGATGGATTGCCAAAAATCTTCCATTTTGCTCCTGGGTTCTTGCCTTGAGCACTGAATATTTCAACAAATGGGCCACCCTATGATAAAATGGTTTAAGGATACATCATCCAACCAAATATTCAGCACTGAATCAACAATGGTCAAGATAAGTACATAAGAACAATCCCTCCCCCATCAGACTGTTACCACAGTCAGTATTACTGATTAGACAGAGAGCAGAATATGAATAACAGCTTCTGGACTGCTATAATATAGTAATCCATGTAGTCAATAATTGGGTTTAGTAGAGGATCAGAATATAAAATTGAAGGAATAGCACGGAATATTTTAAATTATTTTATTTATAATGTCATTCTCTAAAAACCCAAATTATTGTAAACATTCTAAAAGCATGCAGGAAGTTAGTAATTTATATTTAGATATGGTTTATTTTTACAACTCACCAAATTAAGTGAATTTTAAAACATAATGCTAAAAAATAAAAACTGTGCAGACTGGGTGTTGTCTGATTTCCTATGGAAATGAGGTTTACACAATCTGTCTACATATGTGAATATATTTAGCTCTGTCTATATATGCAAGTATGTCAAATACATTTCCCAGTAACTTCTCTACTAATTACCAAATTCCAGCTTGATTTGACCAAACAGTCTGGGAAACTCAACTGGGCCAACTGACCCAGCCTTGTAGTAGATCTGATCCTACGGTATCACCATAAAAAGGTAAGGGCTGTACTGCTGCTGCAGCCTTCATGAGGCATCAGAGAATTAATACTGGAAAAAATTATGAATGCTCCTGCCAGGTGAAAGCTTCTTACACGGAATACGTGCCCTATTAGACATCAAAGAATCTAAACACAGGCTCTTGGTGAGATAGGCTTTATCACCTCTGCTTAGAGAGTTATTTGATTCAACATTTTTCCCATTTGATGTCATATTTTTTGTGACATCTGATATACTCAGCCTATAGTTTATTAAGCATTTTTTCAGTAGCATAGTTGACCTAATCAATCATTACAACTCTGCCGCTCCCTTCTCATTCCTAGTTGCCTGTACTCAATTCTCTTTATGTTCAGCTGCCCAAACAATTTTACCCAGGTCAGAATGAGCAATAGGGGCCAGCAGTCTTGCCAGCAAAATAAATGCTCTTCAAATTATGCTCTCAGAGAACAACACTGCACCATATATGAATAAGGTATTTTCTTTTTCCCACCTACACCGGGCAGCTTCCAGTCGCATGGTGCTCTCAGAGGCAAAATGAAAAAGTAAGACTAATTATGTTTTACCTGATACTGATTTTTAAACATTTTCCAGCTTTCACAGGCAAAAAAATGTCAGCTTCTCAATCAGTAGAGACACTTGCAGACTACACTGAAAAAAAAAAAAAAAAAATCCAAATAAAAAGCTTTAGATAGGATTTGACACAAAAAAAAATTCTACAATGAAATCCCAACCATAGTTTAAGAGATATGAGTACTATTACGAAATACTTTTCATGACTACAGGATGTCTATCAACTGTATCAGAGTGCTACCGCAAAGGAATTAAGTTTAAAAAAAAATATAAATATTGATGCTCTCTTAGAAAATGTTCTCTTCATGCATCAAGTACTCAGCACTGCCTTTCTATATATTCCAAGTAAAACTAGTAATTTTATCATCAGCCCTTACTTTTAACAATGGAGGCTTTCTCATGCTTTAAACATGTTCAAAAATCATCTTTAATACACTTTTTTTTTATTATTCTTTGGTGTTGAGTGCCCACTGGAAAACGTTAGACTCCATTAAAGAGGAGCTTAACATTTAACATAGAAAAAGAGAAACATGGAACAGCTGCAATAGAAACCGCTCCATCCAGAGATATCTGGCAGAGACTTCTGAGACAAATTATCTTCTTCCACATTCAGCATTCTTCTTTGAGGATGATTAGTATAAGACTCAAACTAAGCACTTAAGTTATCTGAGGGCTGCTAATGTCAATGTGAATTAAGAAATGTCTGGAGTTGGAGGATCACAACAGTAGAAAGTGAAGGGACTGATACTGGAAGCCTCCCATGTCCCTCTTTGATCACGCTGAGTGTCTGCTATTTCACCTGAAGTCAGCAAAAAGTGAAGGGACCCTGAACGTAAAAGGTAGCTGTCAGTCTCCAAAGACAGGTAGAACCAGTCACAAGAGACAACATGCACCTTCACTGTGAAAACTGAAAGAGCTCATCAACTCACAGAAATCCTTTAACAAGACTGCGTCTCTTGTTTGATATACTTTGTTATGTTCACTGCTTCAGTTCAGGCACAGACAACTTAAAAGAACAGAATTATTTTTAATTACTGGGGTTTTTTTGAGCCTGAAAACATTTTCTTAACAGATAAAACCCAATATGCTGACCAGAAGAATACAAGTATAGCTTCTCATAAAGAACAGTTTAGGTCTCACAACCAGAAAGTGACAAAAAGGTTTAAATAAATTTTATAAAAGAGATATATGACTGCAAATTAACTAGAAATTCACTGACAATATGCATGAGTTCATAAACAATGTACACATTTCAAGGATTAGAGCAGCATTCTATTTTAGAAAGTATATCATCATTCGTTTAGGAAAACAAGATGAAATCTGTTGATGTTTAACCACAATTATTTTGATCAGCAACAACTATTTTAAGTCTTGAAGTTCTCTGTAAATGAAATAAAAATAGAAAAGAGATCAGATATTAGAAATTTATCCCATGCTGTTGCCAGGAACATTAGATAATTTAAACTTTTTGATTATAAGGAAAATGAAATTTAGAAACCATAGCATTTGTACAGGCCCATCAAAAGACATAACTAGTATTTTGATCGTATTACTTCAATGCTGCCACTGCACATCTAACATCGGTTGCATTATTTTGCATTTTAGACCATTTTCTATACAAATTTTCCACGTATTCAGTTGGCACAATTGTTTTTTTTTTTTTTTTTAACAATGACATTAATAGCTATATTGAACTATTCTAGATTATGAACAAGACAGTTTAGAAATGCCTTTTAAAGAATGCACTTCTAAAGCAAGCATATTATTTCTTCCTTCTGTATATATTCGCTCACAGAGCAATCATTTTGGAAATCAGTTTGTTCATTTTTTTGTCTGCAGCCCTGTCTTTGCTATTATGTACAGTCTTTAAACAAGCAATACTACTCAAAATTGCATGATTCGTGTCTTAGTGAGAAGTAATGGCACAGTGGAACTAATCTCAGAGTGACCTACTGTTTTGATTCACTTCATCAGAGCTAAATGTGAAGGACCAGTAGCAAGAGGCGCAGAAGTCACACCCTCCGACGGTACACATTTACAATGAATGTGTTACTGTAACTCACTTAGTCAGGCGCTTGTCCTTCCAGGACTAAGGAACCATCTCGTACTAACAAATAAAAACTTGGACCATCCCCCCAGGTTTTGTTTATTAGTACTTCTATGTGAAGGGGATATGAAGGAAGACAGTGCTTTTTCCTTGGAGCAAAGGCCTTTCACTTACTTTGCTTTAAAAATCAGTTCCAGATCTGCCAAGCATCATGCACCTAACACAACCCTCATGTACTCAGTTTTATTCACCGTTTTAGCATAAAGTATACCTGGCTTTCATAACAGCCAGTCCACTGATGGCACAACACAGAGTTTTAAAGGAAGATGCAAACAGCTCTGCATACTGCACAAGATGAGCGGAAGCCACGTTGATATATTAACTTGGGTTCAACACTGTGCTAATACACTTTGCCTCTCAGCAGTGCTTATTAGCTTTGGCTTGACATCACTAATTTATTTCCGCACTGTATTGTATGGAAATAGTTCTCAGTTGGCTCTGAGCACAGAAAACACATATGTGCACTGGTAAAACACCACAAAGACACACATCTGTATCATACAAAAAACTTCCGCTATAATTAATTCTTAAATTGAAGAAGCATGAGTCTGAACTGAAAAGTTCTCATACAAAAAGATATACTTAACATAGAAATGAACAAACAATTAAAGACTTTCATAATAGATCACAGAAAAGGTAGAGATATATATGAAGAAACAACATCTAGGAGGCATGTGGTAGTAAAAAGAAATAAAAAAACAGTGGGGTGATGAACACTTATTGAAGGACTAGAAATCTTAACATTTCAAATTGTCAAATAAAGTTCACTCTTACAATATGGCTTAAAATTTGTCACCAATGCAGCTGACATACATATGGGCAAGCTCGGTTATTCACTAATTTGCAGAACATATTTTATACAGACTCAAAGAAACTGATGACCCTTGTAACTATCAAATTCATAACAAGATGACTCTTCCTAACTTTAGTGAAAGGTAAACTAGACCCAAAGTTTGTAAGCATGTGTGTTAGGACAACTCATCCATACTACAAAGCTGATTACTGTAAACACATCAGTAAAATGTCTGTTTGTGTTTCATAAAGGCAAAAAACACTGCAAGTGACACAGCAATACATTTCTGCTCATATATTGCTTACTTGTAATTTCCCAATTTACATAAAGTTACTACAAATGAAGACTAGAAATTACCTTTGCTATTAGGATTGGTGACTACTAAAAACATCAACTGAATGACATTTGTCATGTAATTACTGAGATAATATTGAGGTGCTTTTATTATGCATCAAGATTCATTGTCTTTAGTTACAGTAACCCATGCTTAAAGATAAAGGAGAATGGTCTAGAAAATTGATAGTTGCAATATTCTTCCCCATTTCATTTTTCTTCCTCCTAGACTCTCCAGAAATTCTAAAAAACAAGAGTTCTTAAAATCCAGAGGGACTATTTTAGAAAAAAATCAACAGGATCCTGAAATACAAGTCTTCATTTTTTTTTTTTTTTGCATCTTTAACAAATAAATAGATATTTTATGACATCTTTATAGAATACCATAAACTAGGAATTCTTTCATTTTTCAGTCACAGATCAAACATTTTTTTATTGCCCTGAACCATGTGCTTTATTACATTTGTCCAACTGGAAATATAGGCTCAAAGTGTCAGTCAATGACAAACCATCAAGAATGTAGTTTATAAAGTTAAGCAACAATGAAAGATATTTATCTTCAGAAGAGAGATTCCTATCAGGATTTACCTTGTGAGGTCTTGATTTGTGCACTGACTTTGATCATTAGTTTCACAATGTTTCCTACACAGAAAACAAAGTAGCAGAAGTCCAAAGGGCCCTTTTACTCCTTCCATTCACAGAAACCACTTAGGACCCTGCAAAAATATGTCCATCCTATGACATCTTCTTATGTATATTTTTTCTTCAAACTAGAATGTTTCACAAATATTTCAATAATATTTTGTGTTTATGTAGCCCCACGGTTCAAACAATTGGTCCCTAGTAAGTTTCAAGCAATTTCACAAACAGCAAATGCAAACAGACCCTCATGCTTCCTTAAATTACTTAATACCAAGCACTGTCCCAACCCCAAGGGAGCCTGGGATGGACAGACTGATGCCGCCCTAGAAGCCCTTGTAGTTGTGGTTAGTCCCTTGACTTGAAAGGGACAACTTACTTAAGTATATGAACACATTTTTCTGATCAACATCCCAGAGTTGAAAAAGCTGTGCTTATTTAAGATTTTCTATTCTAAAGTCAAAAGTGTGAAGCAAAATAAAGTGAATTTCTACCTACTGCTAATTTGCATTGAAAAACGACACAAACACACTCTTTTTGGCAGGGAACGTAGGCTTAGACCCAGGACTGTTAATACATACAACTCACCATCACGGGCCCAAAGCCAGTGCTGATTTATGGCAGGCCGGGACACACCAGAGAAAGCAGTTCATCACTGATGAAGGGTTTTAGTATCTTCCAGACAAATGAATTCCACATATTGAATATTTAAAGCCGGGTTTGTAACACTGCTATATATTTTCTCAAAATACAACTTAACATAATGAATGGGCAGAAAGACCATTAATAAACTACACCAAGAATACCAGTGTTCCTATGTGCAAAGCAGCACAGCCAGCCTTTCCACACAACTCGCAGAATTAAGAAGAAAAAAACTCAAAAATTAAAATCAAGCTTTTCACTTTTATAAAATAACGGACCACAAAGCGTTTGGACACCAGGCCCACGACCGCAGCGCCAGCATCCCCACGGAGCCGCTTCCCTGCGCCACCGCGGCCGAGTCC